ATCAAATCTGGGGAGAAATGCCTTCCACAAGGAGAGAGCAAGGCTGGAAGAGGCCGAGCACAGCATTAGTATCAGATGTGTGCAGGCTGCCTCAGGTTAGGCTGGGGGTGGGGGGGTGGGGAAGCACTCTGCCCACAGGGTGCCTGCAGGGTGGGGCAGGGACACGCTCACAGTGCTAGGAGTTCAAAACTGCATTCTGCCCCAGTGCTCTTAAGGTCTCTCGCTGCTTGCTGCTTGGTGTTTGTCACGGGTCAGTATCACCAGGTGCCCTGGGGGCTGCTGGAAATGCAGATCTTCAGACCTTCAAGTCAAAATCTGCTAACAAGACCCTCAGGAGAAGTACTCATCCTGCAATTAAATGCAAAGTCTCACATTCTTAATAATCACAGAGAGCTTTCAGCAGTGTGGTTGACAGAGGAAAGCTGTCGATCAGTTTCCTGCTTCGTTTCTCAGACGTCACTAGTTAATTGCCTGTTGAACAGTTTCAAAAACATCTATTGAGTACTGCTTTGCTAAATATTAGCAAATCAGATTCATAAAGCTCTTGCAGAGGCAAATAAACTTATTTTCAAAAGTGACCTCCTCTTACTGCTAATTCTTGCATAAATATTATGATAAGTGCAAAATTGGCGCAGATGTGTGAACTCAGACCCGAAGTCTGGCTCCTGACTGGAGCGGGGCCTCCACAGGATCGAGGGAAGAGCAGCCGAGGCCTGGGATGGGCCCTGGGCACCTGCGCCAGCGAGCCCTGCGTCCCTCGTCCCACCCAGGCCTCAGTTCTTGGTTTCCTCGTCTGTGAAACGAGCAACAGCCGTGATGGCCTGGAGGGTGTCCACCTCCACGACAGGCTAAGATCCACTGGGCTGCAGAACTCTAACTCCCTTAATTCATTGCATTTCACCCTCCTGTTGTTTGTGTGAACCACCAATGAAAGGACAAGCCTCCGCAAACGAGTGTAAATACCAAACAGAGGCTGGAAACCCCTCCCCTGGGAGCAGGCCCAGGTGCTCACAGATCAGAGAAGTGCAGGCAGCTCACCCACGTGCAATTATGTGTGAGCAATGGCAAGTCTAAAAATAGCCCAACTCAGCCACTGAGGTTCATGCTGTCAACTGTCAGGATGACAGGGAGGGGTGTGACTATAGCACCAGAAAAATGAACACATGAAGAAAGTCTTCTCAAGTTGATAGGAAAAGTTTAGATTTAATAAGAGACACATTTTCAATTCCTGTCTCTAAATCTTTGAATTCACAGAGCTCAGTTATGTGGAGGCAATAAAATGAGAATTTTGATAAAACAAATAATGCTTTCAGTTTTGGGTTCCAGAACCATAAGGAAATAAAATTGCTAATGAGTCAGCTTTATTGCCTCCGTAATTAAAGGGCCATTTAAACTAATGCCTTTCTGTAATTTTTAATTGAGATGCTTTTCTCTATATCTGTTTGTTATAAAAGGTAGTCTTGAACTGTACTTGACATTTTAAGATAACACTGCACAACTGATGATAACATAGACTGATACAGAATTTCCTTGAAAGGAGCTCAGTGAAAATACTTAACTTCAGAAAAGGGTAGGAGCAGGATGAGAATCTGAGGCTGTCTGGGGCCCTTGGGAGCGGGCGGCCAGGATCAGCAGGGCTTTTGCTGAGGCGAGCAAAGGCTCCACGAAGTTCTGGGCAAGCTGTTCTTGCTCAGAGAGCTTACGCACCCAACGTGAGGACCTGCAGACCCAACCCCAACATCTCTGCATGTGGTCTGACCAAGGGACACTCAACAGGGCTGCTCCTAGCTCTCCCTGTCCAGCCGTGGGGCCCCACCCAGTCACTGCTCAGCTCCTCTGGTGGTGGGCTGGCGGGGTCTGCCAGGATCAGCCACTAGAAGGGACAACTAGGAGTTAAGGGAAAGGGGGACTTCCCTGCTGGTCCAACAGCTAAGGCTTTACCTTCCAGGGCAGGGGGTATAAGTCTGATCCTTGGTTGAGGGGCTAAGATCACACATGCCTTGGGGCCAAAAAACCAAAACATAAAATGGAGGCAATAGTGTAACAAATTCAATAAAGACTTAAAAAAAAAAAAGCTAAGAGGAAGGAGGAGAGGATTTGTGTTGCACACTCAACCAGTGCTGGCTTTATTTATTTATTTAGGCTTGGCTGCATCGAGTTCTAGTTGCAACATGCAGGATCGTCCATGCTGACACGTGGGTTCCATAGTGTGCAGGCTTAGCTGCTCCGTGGCATGTGGGATCTTAAGTCCCTGACCTGGGATCAAACCTGCGTCCCCTGCATTGGAAGGCAGATTCTTAACCACTGGCTACCAGGGAAGGCCCTGTGCTGGGCTTTAAAAATATCTTAGTCTTGGCAAGAACTGTGAGATAGATCTTGGCATATCCATTTTATGTAAGATCACAAGCAGGCTGATCCCAGAAGTGCCGGAGTCTGGTTTCAACCCTGTGTCTGTATGTCTGCAAGCCTGTCTCTCCTGCTTAGGTATCACTGCAGCTGCTTTTTTTTTTTTTTTTTGCTCTGCCCATGGCATGCAGGATCTCAGTCCCCTGCCCAGGGACTGAACCCATGCCTGGAAGCGTGGAGTCTTTACCACTGGATCTGCAGGGGAATCCTGGAAGCTGCTCTTGGGGGGGGACTCTTGCCTGCAGCATACAGATCACCCCCAAGGTGCCAGTTAGATGCACTTGAGGCATCTGCAGGTTTTCCAAGCACAGAGGAAGACTAGCCCCTTGGAAAGTCCCTCTGTGCTCTCCCTCACTTAGGCCACCACAGTCAATGGTTATTTCCACATCAAATATATTCTACTGTGCCACCTGCTATTTTCACTTCAGAATACATTATGAACATCTCTTTATGTATTTTAACCTTTATAAAGATTGCATTACTACACTATAATCAATCACTTACTAGTGGATTTTTCAGTTTCAACTGTAGTACTACTTTACTAATCAGGAAAAACAGAAAAGTTTATATGGAGAAAAATATGAGAGTATTAAAGTCATTTTTAAAGGATATAATAAGAAAAAAACTAAATCAAGAGCTTCACACCTCAACCTTAATGCTTTCCTCAAGTTTTTGCTTAAAATCCAAACTGCCTACAACCCAGGAACACCCTGTGATAAAGTGTAACATACTCGGATGAAATAAAATGGACCCACAGGCCCCAGGGCCAGGGATCCTCAACCCCACCATGAACATGCAGTCAGGCCACTTCTACAGCAAAGAGGAGTCAACAGCTGTGTGAAGGGGTTCTGGCTGAAAGTGAAACATATACACAAAACAAATCTGCTTTTGTGGTTAGCTGAAAATTCACAGCTGATAAGAGCTTTTCTTTAATTAAAGTGTTTCCCCATCCCATGCAATGAGAAAAATGTTCTTTTAGTGCTGACTAAAAGAGTAAAAGCTGTTTGGAAATCCCGAGGCTTAAGTAAAGCTGCTTTAAAAGCTGCTATGTGGACCAAACAACTTGGAAACATCCCACAACCAGATTTTTCTAGAGCTCCTAGAGTAAATATCTGCAGTCACGTCTTTGTTCTCCTACTTTGGTCAAAACCCAAAATTGAGTAACACAAAGGTCACCCACATAGCCAGAGAAGAAAAAATTTTACAAAGTGTGTGCGCACACACACACACACACACACACACTCATGGTTACTTTAAAATTAAAGTTGTATTTAAATAATAAAATTAATTATGGAATAGATACCAGTTATTTATACACTACCTCTTCATTACTTCTTTCTGATGCACTTTAAACTGTGATGCTATAAGATGGGTATAAAATTAATTCTATATGAATTTAGAAAGTTGACCGTGAAGAAGTGTACGAACAGTTTTGGAGTGGCAGGGACTGAATGTGAAGGGACCCACCTGCAGGGTTTCTCCTGCTGACTCCTCCTCCACAGGCCTCTCCCTGGAGGATGGAGGGAAGCCGAGGGCAGAGCAGGGCCGGGATGCGGCCCGGGGAGACGCGGGGAGGCGGCTGGCGTCGCAGGCCACGCACGTCTCCATGTCCCTAAGAGACCACTTGTCACCGGCTCGAGACCAGTGTGTTTGGGCTGCATCCTAACAAAGCCATTTTGGCCGCGTGTAATGGACTCATCTCCTGACAGGCTGGGCAACGGGTGGGGTCTGATGTACAGTCTGTCTCCAGTGAAGGCCCCGGATGGCCATGCTCGGGACCGCTAGAGGGAAGAGCACTTGGTGGCTCTCTGGCGCTCCCTCACGGGGGGTGTACTCCGACTCCTCACCATGCCCCATGCTCACAGAGGGCACAGTGGCCATGCCCATGAGGGTACGTCTCTGATTTTCCTCATCTGCTCCCAAACTGCGGTGCTGGACCCTGGAGGACAGAAGGAAAGGATGTCCGCGAGTGGGCTGAGAACGGTCGCAATGTGGAGTCTGCAAGCTCTGTAAGCAGCAGGGGGTTCCTGAAGCCAATCAGAGGTGATCCAGTAGAGACCGTTTCTAACTCAAAACAGAGAGCTTTCATGAATGTAGCAAGTAAGGCCCAGGGCTCGGGCGTGACACAGGCCGCTCACATGTAACCTGAACGTCAGGCGAGGACACTTCTTAGGATATTGGCACAGTCAGAGGAAGAAAAGGTCAGGGACACGTATTTCAGACAGCTGATTAAAAAGATGTATTTAAAAGAAATAAAGCATTGCCAAACAACCACATGCCTGATTACGGACAGATTAGCACAACAGCAGAGTGGACTGTTTCATCTTGAAAGCTCAGCATTTTCTTTTTTTCAGGGTAGACAGATACTTAGAAAGGGCAGTGTAACCATTAAGAGCTGAAATCTAGAGTCAGACTGCTTGATTCTGAATTTCTCCTCCACTGGCTGGTGTTATAATTTGGGGAAATTTGATTAATCTCTGCGCTCTGGTTTCCTCGTCTGTGAGGGTGACAGGAGGTAACTCACGGGAAGCACTCGACACATGCGCCCGAGGCGGGGGCTGCCACCATCTCCAGGGCCGGAGCCCTTCACTCACCAAGATGAGTGTCCATCACCTTCGCACAATATTTGCACATGGCATCCAGGTCATTCAACTGTCCTTGAAGGAAGGAAATTTGGGCTTCTAATTCTTCTTCCTAAAATGAAGGGGGCAAAGATACGAAAATGAAAAAAAAAAAAAATCAAAGAAAATCCCCAAAGTCCTCCAAAAGGTCTGGACTGTTTTAAAGAGCCACCATCCATGTCTTTTAGCCCCAGACAAAACAAAAGCGAGCAACAAATGAGCAACAGGAGGGGCGCTACTGCCACCGCCAGTGAAACAGGAGGGGCGAAATGAGATCCAGAGCAATTCTGGACTTCTAACTGAATGCTCGCTTCGTGCCATGTGTGAATGTTTACCCACACAAACTTGTATTAAAAAAGTACATAAAATACCTTCAATAACTGTTGAGCCACAAAATTGAGAGTCAACGGGACTTTGGTGGACCCAACTCCCTAGACAGCTGGTACAAAACCATCACATTTTCTCATACACATTTGACAAACCAGAAATTTCCATCTGTTTAAAACAAATCTCTTCATTTTCTAGACCATGATAATCTCTTAAAACATGAGATTTTCCCAAAGCACTTGGGAAACTTTTGGCCCCACAGCCCACAGTTAGCTGCTCTTACATCTTCTCTCTTGGTAGAATACTAGAGGATTTTATTTATTTGATTGTTTCTAGGGAAAAATACTCTGGGTGGGATAATTATCTAAATGGCAGAAAGACAATCTAACTGTAACAAACGGATAAAGCCTGGAGCTTTTGCTTTTTTAAGAAAAAAAGTAATGCATGTGAAAAATTTCCCAAGGAAATTTAGAAGATTAAGGGAGTTTTTCTCAGAAAAGAGAATAATCCTCATAGATATTTTAAACCAAGTTAGTTAGAATACAGAGAAAGGATGTTGCCAGAGCTGGACAAGGCTGGCAGATTGATTTTCCAGGGTCACTTATCTCCCCACATGAGAACCCTCTGTTGTCAAAAAGAAGCAAGAGAAAATTCCCAAGACATGCTTTTTCTTAAGAGACTGAATACAATCTGACACAAACATGGAAATTAATGGCTGAAAAGGTGACTTGGAGGTGTACCACAATGTGTTAGCAATACACATACACAACACCTAAAAGCACTGTTTTTAATGGCTGCCTGGAAGGTGAGCCTTTAGAAACATGCACTCAAATGCCTGATGCAGAACACACACACAGCGGTTGCTCTAAAACCAAATTATTGTGAAATGGCACTGTAATTGCCCAAGCTTGAAGCCTGTACTTCACACATCCCACCAAGCACAAAGGCCTCTCTTCTGATACTCAAGGAAAGACGACGCGACCAGGAGCTCAGCCAGGGGATGATCACTGTGGCCCCGGGTCGGTGTTGCAGGGCGTTTTTCTTCTCCTTCCTCTCCTTTGGGTCTGCACAAACCTGAGCTTCCCTGTTCGCTAAGGACCCCACAGGAAAAAGAGAAAGAACAAGGCATCTTTTGGTGAACCTAGGTCATGATTCGTCTCCAAAGATGGCCACCATCCATTCCTTCCTCGATGGACACGATGTTCTGCTCATCAAGACGTGGGGTCTACTTCCCTTCCCTGCAAATCCTGGTTGTCCCGTCACTTGCCTTGATCCAGAGAACACAGGAGAAGTCACACTGTGTAAGAGGCCTGCCAACTTCTGCTTCCTTCTGCTTCATGAGAGGAAGGCAGCTACCGTAGTTAGTTGTGAAGATCAGGCTACGATAATGAACAAGAGGAGAGACAATATGGAGAGAAAGGGGCTGCAGGAGACACAAGGAGGTTCTAGACACGTGAGTGATGTCTTCCTGGACCTTTCATCCCAGCTCACCTGAAGCTGGCCGAGTGAGAATCCCGGCCAGCAGCAGGCGGAGCAGAAGAGCAGCCCCACCCAGCCCTGTCCACACGCCTGGCCTGAAAACCCGTGAGCAGTAGCAACGCTGCTCTGAGGGGTGGGGTTTGGGGTGGTTTGTTACGCAGCAACAGATAACTGACAGGCAGTGGGATGAAGGATCACTAGCGTTGTATATGGCACAAGGAAACCTGAGTTCTGTTTCTGATCCTGCCATTCACAAGTCATGTAACCTTAAACAATCCTCTACCCAGTAAGGGCCTAACACTGGCACTCTCTGGAGAAGGCAGAAGTTAGATACTTTGCTTCCAAGAGGTTTGCAAGCTTGGAGTTGGAATAGGAAAGGTTTATAATTACCAGACGATGAGGCAGTGTACATGAAAATCTCACAGAGAAATAAGAATAGTTGTTCTGAGGATCCTGGTCCTGGCCTCCTGTCCCTACTATTGAACAAGTCACCTTTTCAATGTGTTACAGATACAAACCAACCTGGAAGGAAGAGTCTAGAACTGTCCTGAGGCCAGCATGTGGCAGTCTTTTGAGAGAGGGACTCTGGCTGGAGTTTGTCCCTGCCCTTGGCTTCCAACTGGGGTGCTGGCAGCCCAGAATGGACAAAGGACACCAGGAAAGTACCACCAGCTGGTTAACATCTCTTCTCCATTTACTCAATGTATGAGTTTAGTTTGGATTAAGTGATCACTTTTTATGAGATGCAAAAGCCCTTGGGGGCCTTAAACCCCAGCAGTCATTCCTACCTAAACGGATTAAGTGTATTCTGGGAGGGAAGAAGAGCTGGAGAGGAGACAGTCAGAGGACACGGTCCAGCCTGTGGGTGGTGAGGTGCTGACAGCGGGAGGGAGTGCAGGGCTGAAGGAGGTCTGCTCCTCCAAACACGTGGCTGTGCTGGTCGGAGCGCGACTGTAAGGAAACGGGCGAGGCTGAGACTGGCGCCCGCGGCACTGCCCGCACGGGCGTGCAGGGCAGCCGGGGCATGTGCTGGGGGCGTGTGGGCACACGCACAGGCTTCTAGGCGGGCATTTCTGCTTAGCACACTGGCAGCAAGCGAAGAGCACCTGGCTTCCCTAAGTCCTGCGTAAACCTCAGTACAAACGGCATCTACGTGTCAGAAAAAAGCAGTTTTCATTCCTGTAAGACCTTTTTTTTTCCAATGGAAAGCTGACACAAAAGTCCAATTATGAGATAAAGAATAGTTGAGACAGGTTGAGGAGCCCAAGAAACTCTTCCATTTGGAATATTAAACCCAGTACATGATCTCGCTGGAGTTTGCTTAATCTGAAAATACACCCAAGCCCAACGATCACTCAGACTTTATAAATAGAAATGGAATCTCTTGGCAGCACAAGGGTGGCCTGCCATTTATTCTTCGCTCTTTTATATAATTACAGGTAAAAGAAAGAGCCAAGAATCAAGCTTCTAAGATTGTGGGAAGAAACTTTCCATTTCTATCTTAGCTTCTGAGGCTCCACATGCCTCAGACACAGCTTTAGTCATTTGCTTTCATTAATGGTCCTCTGTAATCAAAAACAAATGCTTGGCTAATTGCCTTGAAATTTTATAAAACCAACCAGCTAGTGTCATTTTTATATATAAACAACACATGAACAAAAGTGCTTGTTACATTTACTTTTGCATACATGTTCCGCCTTCCGTTACAGGAGGCAGGATGGTGGAAGCGGGTAGCGTGCTGGGGTAGACACACCTGGGTTTGATTCTTCTTTCTACCAGTTTGAAGACACTGGCTGTGTAATCTTATAGAGTTCCCTAATTCTTTGGTACCCCAAAGGTATTGATGAGAACCAAATGGTAACACATGGAGAATGTCTGGCACAGAACAGATACTCCATAAAGCAATTATTCCTTAATTTTTTAAATCAAGTCAAAACAACAGAACCGATTTTTAATACGGAGGTTGGTGATTCACTCTTAGAAAACACTAGTCTCTGGTTTAAACATCTTTATGTGGCTCTACCCAGAAGGGTGAATTAGGACTTGGGAGCCCACCACTGACTCAAGTTCTGCAGAGCCACTGACGTGTGAGGCGAGAAAGTGGTGGAGGATGAGGAGGCGGGCTGCCGGCAGCCTCCGGGGAAGGACAGAGCACAAGAGCCGCCCCGCAGAGGAGCACACCGCTGGCTTCCAACCCTTTCACAGGGACTGTGGCAGGCCCGGCCCTGGGCTCTGCATGCAGGAACTCACTTAACCCTCACAGCAAACCCACGAGGTAGATCCTCTCATTACGCCCTACACGGGACACGGGCTCCTCTGCAGGCCGCCCTCTCTGAAGCGATGCCAATGCGGAGATGCTGCTGTGAGGACCCAGGTCGCCTGCCCACTACACCCAGTCCTCCCCCGTACGTGGTCCTCCTTATACTCGATTACCAGGCCCTTCCGGGGAGTGTCTTCGTATCTCAGTCTCCTTGAGGAGAAGCTCATCATTTTCAGTGTTCAGACCCACCCCTAAATGGCTTACTAAATCATTTCCCTTCATTCAGGTATGATCGTCTGTCTTCCGTTCCGTATGTCGAATGATTTTCGTTTAGGTTGTATCAGGAGAAATGTGTTTTAAATTTGCTTTGTAAAAAGTGGTATTTCTACCACCATTCTCCCAGGAATAGCTGATCCATCACTACACTTCCACTCACATATTATATGTCTCAAACTGTTTAAACTGTTTTCTAAAATGTAGATTTTATAGATCGATTTTGTTAAATGCTTCACTGTCTTTACTTCCTTTCTTGGTTAATAACAGGATGAGCTTTTGTAGTTTATTACTTATTTATTCATTCATTTCTTCAACAAACATATTCAATGATACTGTGTTAGGGCTTGTGGGAAATACAATAATGAACGAGATGTGTTCTGACCTCTGCAAACTTAGGAAGAGGTAAGACTACACGTCAAGCATGAGGAGCAACTCACTAAGCTTCGCAGCAGGTATGAGAGGATCTCACCATCTCGGGCAGGGCAGCCGGCTTCCAAGGCGCAGGGGTGGACAGGACAGTAGATTTTCGGCAAGCAGCAGCATTTCTGATGAGTATTTAAGACGGGGGATTTGGCTCAGAGGAAATGAGGAATATAGATGTTTTAGGAGGCAGGGACACAGTGAACAAAGGAGTAGAACCAGAAAAGCGGGGAACCAGGGCAAAGAGTTGCAGCTGGGGCGGGGCATGGAGAGCAGGAGCGGGGCTGGGCTGGAGGCTTCCCGCCCCCATT